TAATGCAATCCAAATTTTAAAATTTAAAATTGGGTGGGAGCACTTGGAAACCGGTCAACAATGTTTCACATAAAGGAGAAAATATTAAAATATTAAAAAAAACAATTGAATCCTCCATCTTCTTTTTAACAACCCAGGGTGAATTCCGATGGATACCATTGGTTAGTGTACCGGAAGCGATGGCCAACTTCAAGATCACTGACGTGAAGGAGCTCTCTTTAGACTTGGGTCAAGAGGCCGCGAACACACAACCACCCCCACCGAGGCCTGCGCCTTTGCCAACGAACACACAGGAGTTCACTCAGCCCCCCGGACACTCTCCCAATTTACAAATCAACGTCACTGCGGGTAAAAAATTCCATGTCAAAGCAGTAGTAACCAATTCCCATGGACCTGTCAGTTGCAATATACCCTTATCCTTAGATAGCTTTCTTAAAGGTCAACACTAGTCTAGGATATCATTAACCTGTATTCATTTGGTTGTTACTAGTGTATTGAGATTTAAATTAAAAGAGGAGAAAAATGATATCAAAATTAATACAACTGAATGTCGCATTAATTTAATACGAAGTTCCGCTTTTTCTATCAAAAAAACATTTCAATTTTATGAATAGGGTCAATAGCTCTCCGTTTCAATGACAATGAATAGAGAGTGGAGATGAATGTGTAACATTTTTATCTCTAATAACTGGACAAGAGGGAGAGAAAGAGACGGAGGAGAGGGGGTGGAAGATTGGGCAATTTTGCTTTGAAAAAAAGAGAGAACTCATGTCATTTATCAGAAAATGAGTTTAGTAATTGCAGTAGATACCGGTTTGTAAGAATAAAGAATGGCATTTATCATTTGCAGTACTGCAGTATCTCTCAAACTATGAGAGTAGTTAGATAAGGGTTAGAGAAGATGCTACCGCCAAGTAATTGGCTAAGGGGTGTCGAGTAAGCGTGATTACAATTTTGAGTGAGACTGAATTTTTTGGCATATGGAATCTTTGCTAACGGCTAAAAATAATCGGTTTTTGAGCCATTTTGACGCACTTTTGGCAAATGGTGCCTAGGTGTAAGCGATCGCATTTGTTATTTGGGGTTACTATTGGTTGCACAAGGCCCATATCTACTGATACGCACTGCGTCTATTAGTGAGGCATCCTGTAACTGATCTAATTTCCTACTATTGCTTCGAAAATTTGCAGCTCTGAAGCTTTGCTGATGGATTTGAATCCCTCGGTTAAATGCCATGTCAGGTTGAATGTTCTATTAGGGAATCAATCCTACTTTTAGTTCATTATTATAGCAAATCTTTTTCCCTTCTGTTTTTTTCTAGATTACCGTCAGGATCTCTCAGGTGATTTACCGAAAATGGGCTCTGTGAGTCAGGTATGACCAATGAAATTGTAGACGTGTTTTCATATGTGATTTTCAGTTTACAAAATATGGAATCGATTAACATCTCCTATAGAGATGCAATTTGCGAAGGTTTTCCATTTAGTGCAATTGTAGGCTAATAATTAAGGGCATTGCTGCAAATGCAGATAAAACACATAATTTATTTCTGAATTTGATTCTGAAATCTCTTTTTGCTGACAGATTGACGTTTTGGCGCCTTTTAAGTACTAAAATATTTATTCATTTCAAATGGCAGGCGTTTTGCTAGTTAATATTAACCCTTTAGTTGGCTTCGGGCTTTACTGAGGGGGAGGAACATTAAAGTGAAAAAATCCAAGAGGGGGTGGGTGGGAACAGAAGAGTGTTTCAAAGATGTAAAGAGTCAGACACAAAGGTAGAAAAAAAGGTGAGGTGAATATTGTGTAAGTAGTCAAATATGACATAGAGTAGGGTCATGGTAGTTTGAAGTCAGAAGTCAACTGCCGATTAATAGACTTTTTTGCTGTATGAGTATGCGTTGCTCAGGGTGCACCACGTGGAGGTAAGTCTATATATATTTATTTTTCAGATTAATATCCAAAAGACTAAATGAATTTTTCATTGAGTGAAAAAGATGCTTGAAAATCATTTATCGAATCAATGCTAACCAATCAGAACTTTTAATCATGTCCAAGGCAATAGACAAGCAATCAATTACTACTACGTGAGTAGCACAATGACTTACCAAAGTGAATACAATTAGCAATATGAAGTCAGATTAAGACAAGTTATTCTTAAGAAAATTTTTTGTACGTACAGTGATGGGATAAAAATCGGAACTTCACACAATTCCGTACTGATGAAAAGGTTTCATTTCAGATTTTATTTGATCAAAATGGCTTTTTGGCTTATGGTGTCAGTGATTCGGAGATTAGTCAAATGAAGAGGTATTTTTCATATGAAATCTGTGTAATATAGACGGAAAAGTACTTTAACATACTTTTTAAAATTTGTAAAATGCTAATAGTATGCAATTGATTGATTGAAATCTGATAGGACTAGTATAGACTTAATAGCAGCTACATGAGTAAATGTGTAGTAAACCATTAAACTGATTTTGTTTCTCAACAACAACTGAAGAAGAGGTGAAGTGTTACGAAAAGTGGCTTTTATTCATATAAGGAGTTAGTCACCATATTGTACCCTTTAAAATATAATGAATAACCATGAGAAAAATTATGTATTTCTCCACCAATATTCAAATGAATAAGTTAAGATAAATATTGATCAAATGCAGAAAACGCCCCAAAATTTATATTTCTTGAAGTTCGGTCGTATGGTTGGACTCGTAATGTGCAGCAAAAGAAGTCATAAGGTGTTCTAGCCAAAGATCGAATACAGTGAATCCTTTTTTAACTTCATTTTAAGTCTCACTTTATGGTGGTATTATCTATCTCAAGATCTTTCATAGGAGAATAATTCCATGTGCTCTTTTAACTACGAGATAAACTTAAATACAGGTAAAAGAAAGAATGTTGGGCAACAGATGTTTTGTTAAAGGGAAGAAAACTGAAATTCTTAAATGATCATATTTTGTACTTTATCTATTTTTTAGCGCAATATTCGATATAATGCAAGAAAATAATATTAAATATCCCTTATTGCACAAAATCCAATACAAAGGCATTCAATAGGCTTGCTCTTTAGCTCAAACTGATTACCGGCGGCGATGAGCATGAATTATAACAGAAATTTTTCAAATTATCTACAATATATCGTAATCCTATAAAACGAGGTGTTAATAGTATTTACGCAGGATAAATGGTGTAACAAGTATATACATAATAGCTACGTAAA